TTTTAACAGCTTGTAAACTTGAGGCATCTACTCACAGATACTCCAGATGAGGAAGACCGAGGAAAGCGTCCTCGTTTATAGATTCCAGGTTGTTGGCTGTGAAAAGACTGTGCAGAGAAATCCATTATATTTCACTATTCCTTCTCACAAATTGGATACTAACAAGCTGTGGTCTTACATTAGTAGCTTAATGGACCCGGGATGGAAAACTCCCTCATTTCTCCTTCACAGTAACCAAAATACATCAAAGACAAAGATCAATGCAGCCTCGCATGTTTGTATGAAGAACACAGTGAGTCAGTCAGTACTCCACCCCATAAGACAGGAGTGAAGGGGATTCCCTTTTCAAAAGGAGGGATTCCCAATCAATAAATCTGCATCTGAAACCAGGTCTCATTCACAATATGCACAAATACACGTTAAGGCAAGACTTGGATGAATGCTATAGCAGAGAGACTATTCTACCCTGATATGAAAAGGTCTGTAGGGAAATCATTTAAAGGGGTAATTTTCTCCAAAATGATTTATGGTTCAGCTCCCCCATTCAGATTGTAGGCTACAACATCAATTCTACCATAATGTGTGGCATCAGAGGGGGAGATGTCTTGAGCATTAAACATGGCGTTGATCACCTCACTGGGGAATGACAGCATGCAACAAAGACTGAAGAACAAAAAGCTCCAGAGAGATTTCTCACAGGAGATGCAGGGCAGGCGTGTGGATGAAGCTCTCCTTCGGGATTTCAGTGAATTCAGACTTGACGAATGACCTGAGGGGGGGGGGAGGACACACGACAGACAGACACACTGGTTAGCTTCAAAGCATAGACTGTCTCATACGAACAGTGATCCCGGTCTGTTTCATGCATTACTGTGCAGCAGCGGCAGCAGCAGCAGAATCAGCACTGAAACCCACCAGCAGAGACGAGTGTGTTTTGTTAATCTATGAAAGCCCTGGTTAGGAATGCTTTATTAAATAATAATAATATGACTTACAGTGATATGACATCGGGCGGAAAGCTGCGAGGGATCAGTCCTGCGCTTTCGCACAGCGCGTTATCTTTGGTACATGTACATGATGAGGGGCAGCGAGGCTGTCTGGCTCTCTTGCTGTCCACTGCAAGTAAAACGGACGCCACTACAAGTACGCAAAGCCAGGGCGATCTCTTGGGCATCTTGCGTGTATTTTCCATTCTTGCGAACCGCTGCGGGCACGACCTGCGCGTCGAACAGCCCTGCACATGAACCAGGGTCTCCGCTGTGGTTCCTCTTCCACTGCTGCTGCTGCTGCCTGGAGGCCAAGCGACGCGCTGTCCGCTCCTGTGTATCTCCGCCAAGTGCCGTGCGCCGCCACCGCCTCTCGCTCTGGAGGTGATTAAACCGGGCGCCCCGTACGTCCACAGCGCTGTAATTACACTACACCCCCTGACCAAAAAAAAAATCGATATCCCCCTGTGACTAAAATAAAATCGAATCAAATTCGTGCTGTAGTGGCTGAAGCTCAGAAAAATACCAGCTGGCGCGGTGACAAACACGGTGTGAGGGCAGGTGGGGATCCCAGCGGGAGCAGACGGATCAACTCCGTCCAAAACCACGCCTATGATTTCAGCAGAACGCCACACTCTCCGTGTCGACCTCCCGGAGGATTCCGCCCAACAGCCAACGCGACGGAACGGTGTAAATATTCGTGAATCAGCTGGAGAAAATGAAGCCCCGACATGAGCCAGCGGATTGCAGCCTGTGGCGCAGACGCACACGGGCTGTGTATGCGGGAAGCGGGTGGGAAACCCGAGGACAATTAAATGTCATCATGGAAATACAGCTGTAGCATTGGCTCAGTATACTCCACTAGACTGCCAACATCTTGCCATATAGCTTGTAATATTATTGTCATTATTACTTCGGGTGTTGCTTGAAATGTTCTCATATTTTCTTGGCACATTTTGGGTTCATTTCCTGGTTTGCACGCGGTTCCTATGGCGACTGGTGGATGCAAAATGTGGCTGCCCTGTGATGGAGGGGTGTGGGGAAGCCCTCCTGTCATCCTGACATCTGCTGTGCTGAAGTCAAGTGGACCCCATCCCCCCTCACGCCCCTCACAGACAAAGGACAGGTCTATCCTCACATCCTGCATTTCTGCACGAGATTGTGTTTCACAAAGCCACATAACAAAGCATATACTCCTTTCTTTCCCCCCCTACTTTATTGCTTTTTCAAATTGCATTCACTGTTTTATTGCACTGTTTGCTGCTGTGCCAGACACGACATGGGAGCCCCATTACGTCTTCTTTTTAACCATCTAATTTCTCGCTGCAGATCCCTCCAGAGAATAAAGTAAGATGAATATGTTTATTGACTGTTCCTGGAAGGGCTGCATGCGTCAGGCCTTTCTGGAAAGAAACATGAGTTTGAAAAGGTTTCTGAATAAATACATAGTGCTCTGGAACTCCAGTCTCTCTGATGCGATTACACCATTTGATGTCCAGTGTCTGTTTATGATGATAATACAATTTTGCCTTTAAAAAAGACAGCAGGGCATTTGGAGGAGCAGGGTCATGCTTCGGGAGCTGCTTCACGGTATGCTGGAGGGAAGGTTGGAAGAATAAAGCTCTCACCCATAAGGGAGATACTCTAAAGGAGACTGCTTGTACTTCAGAGAGGACATATTCAGAGAGGAATTGTGGACATGGAGGAGCTGGAAGGGACAGAAAGAAACAAATGTCTTTTTTCATAAGCAGCTTTGAAACTAAATGGAGAACAGTGGATATAATTGTTGCACTGCAAGATGATGGGTAATGTCTGCGCCTCATAAATGCCGACATTCATCGCCAGAATAGAACACACACTGTCCAGCAGTTATTTGACCACAGCGACGTCCACAGCTATTGATACGCCTGAGCCTGGTGTTTCTGACTGGTAAATGGACTTTTGAGATCTGTGTTATCGGTCTTCCTGCAACTGATAACCAGCATATGACTACACATTATGCATGTGCATGACTTCCCTAATGTGTCTCTACGGCTACAGAAATAGGCTAGCATTATAAATAAATGTGTTTCCATTGTTGCAGGTGCACAAAGAGCCTGACTGTCTTCCCTGAGTTCCCCACCAGAGGGAAATGTAGAACCAAGGTAGAGGTGGATTGATTTACGAGCTCCCATCTCTTGAAAGGTATTCTATCTGGATTTTTAAAAAACGTTTTTACTTCCATCTTTCTTTTCCTATTTTCTCTCAAAGATTATTCATCTTAAATTAGTTATTGTTATTATTATCAACAAGGAGTTTAGATCACTTTTAGAATCATATTCACACTATTCTAAAAAACAATCCTTATTTTCATTCATATCATGGTACAAAATAGTCTTCTGCTCCAGTCCTCCTTCACCAGTGAAAGCAGCACATTAAGTAAACCTACTCTTGTGTTTCTGTTTGACCTCTGCACCTACACAATGTCTTTAGGTGTCATGTCAGTCCACAAAGCTGGCTGACCTCCCTGGAAGTGATTTGCGGGCTTTTGTAACTGAGATGCTCTCTGGTTCCTATATGAAGTATGAAGTTTACAGGCCACCTGTCAGTCTCGCATTAAGGGGATGATTGCTTATGACAGCATAACCTCCATCAATAACCTCCACTGTCTGACACACAGTCATTTACCATTATTGCAGAGAAATATTGAAAAAATGTTGTTTCCTTAGTAGCACGAGAGCTGAAAGTTAGTAACAGTTTAATCTCCACTTAAAACCGCAATAACTGAATAGGTGGACGATGAAGGAGGTGAAAATATTCAAACTTTTATGTTAACTTTGATGTTATGTTGATTGTAATCTTGCACTCATTTTCTTATCATTTTGAAATTCTCAATAGATTTTTTTTTCACAGTTATTGTGTAATCCAGCAGGGAGGCAGTGATGCCTTTTCCTGCATGGGATCTTCCAGGGATATTGTCAGATGATGCACCACAAGATCTGCTTGACATCCAAACTTAGGTTAAACAACATGCCAAACTGTCAAAGCTCAAAGGCTATGCATGACTATGTTCACTTCTGTAAAGTGCATCTTACAAGGAGGGATATGATATATTTTCTTGTTTATGAAGGCTACTCTACACACCGTGGCTAATTACGGTGCATTTATATTCCTCTTGAACATTTGTATTTGATGAATGGATATCAGCAGTGTGAAAACACAAATCAGTCTCCAAATCAGTGACACAGGTCTCTTGTAAGCTTGTTAGCAGTTGATTAAAAGGTGATGTTTGGTCAGTCCTGCTCTCCTAAACCCCTCTTTAGCTGGAGTGGTGGAAAAGGTGTATCAATGAGGCCATAAGTCATTATCAGGAAACTCTTTCTATTCAATAATCCTCGTGCTGCAGCTAATATACCCCAACATTACTACACCCATGATGCAGCTGAAATGAAGTATAAAATTAATATTTTCATTCTTACTTAATTTGTGTAATCCGATTAGGCTAAAATGCACACATGCATGATTTGATTTGAAAAAAAACCTTTATTGACATTTGTCATGAGTTATACCTGATGCTATTGCACATATAACTATGTATTTAATGCTATACATTCACAATAGAGTCAACTTTCTTTGCAAAGGTTGCATTCATTCAAAATTCAACGTTCTTATTTTAACAAACACTTGCTTCAGAAAATATAATCATTGGAAAATTGTCACAAACTCTAGTTTGAGAAGTCTTAACATTTCAGCTTTAAGAAATCACACCATAGCATTGTTGATGTGTTGTTTCACACTCAAACAATACCATTTCAGTACAAGCACAGAGTTTCTAAATGACACCTTCCTGTCCTGTAAATGCCACATGCACTCTACACATGCTGACTTATGAGCAGGACGGCAGTATTTAGACTGGTGCCAATTAAAATAGCTTATTGTATCAGATGATGCTCATGCACATGCTCATGCACATATACAAACTGTACAAATACACATCCAGAAAACATTCAAAAGTGCCTCGACCGTCCTGGAGGTCTAACTGACGACACATGTCTTTGACTTCCCACCTTCTTGAACTGTAAAAGGAACAAGCGAGAAATACGGTGAGAAGACAGGCAACAATGAAAACACAGCATGAGCAGGAGGGATGTGGTAGCAGTGGTTTCAGTGCTCACCTTCATCTCCACCTTCCAGCCTTTTCTTCTCGTCTTCGATAGCTTTCATCTTGGCCTCGTAGACATCTGCGAGAGCTCTCCACTCGCCCCTGTTGATAGTCAGGCCATCGAACATGGGAGTGATCTCTATATGGAAGCGAGAAAACTCTTGCAAACAAACACGGGGGTGAGGGCAAATAGAAACATACAAATGAGAAAATACACACATATCATGTTAGTATTTATTAACAATAACTAGTGTTTTTATTTGTATCTATGTACCTTGTACACAAAGGAACAGACAAAGTTAATGAAACCACACTGCATCTTAGGCAGCTCCTCAGAATGATTCCTGTCCATCATTGGCTAAAGAAGAAGAAGAAGAAGCGGGAGGTGATGCTTATTGTTATGACTTTAGGACAACATTAACAGTGCGGGCAACATACCAGAAACCTTAGCTTTTAACACTTCTTACAATAGGCTGCTGGTCAAGGACTGTCCTTTCAAGATCTCCCTGCTCCCAAAATTCTGCCGCCACCATTAGAGCGACCTAGGACCATAAGAACCAGCAGCACAATGAGAACAAATGGGAGAATGATGTTTTGTAATCGCTTTACACGTCTTAAGAAGGGAACTCGCCTTACTCTGAACCTCCCATGGCTTTGTAATGGCTGACAGGTCACAAGCCGTCATCATCATTGCCCTGCAGAAAACACGACACCATGAATGACAACTAGAGATTCAACCAAAGACAATCTAGAGAAATGGTCAAAATGACAGAAATGGCTATTTTACATGATACACTCTGCATTTACATGATGATTTCTTTTCTGGTTGGATTGTTGGAAATGTAACTGATTTTCTCTTTCTCATCTGGAATCGCCTCCACAGCTCCCACAATGTTTTGGAACAGCGTTCTCTTCCTGAGAGACGAGAAAGCTGTCAGTTCTTGTCAAACGTCCTTGAAAATCAATAACAGGTATTAAAAGTGTACTTAGATGGAACATCACCCTTGACATTCCTTACTTGAAATAGAGGGCGAGATCAGTGGCAATAATGCAAACTTCAAACAGATGCTGCACCGTCTCAAACGCTTTTGAAGGTTTTGGAAGATATTCAGGTTCTGGAATCGATAGCAGGAGAAGAAATTAGACGGCAGCCAAGAGTCCCTAAATCTGGCAGGCTACAGTACAGCATGAAAAAAATGTGCCAACAGATATGTCTATTTCAATGCACAACTACTATGAAACACCTATATATAAACATATAAGGACCCACCTCATTCTCCATCAGTGTCTTACTGTACTCAAGGTGATGCCGCTCCATAACTGAGGAGCTGTGCAGTTTTGCCAGTGGGGATGAACTCCTACAAGAGTCCACCAGAATCAGAACATATGAGTCAAAAGTTTAGATGGTTTTATCATGTTTCTCACCAATGCATTTCTCCAATGAAAATGACCCACAGTAGTAAATATTGTGGTGAAAAGACACGCTGTATGATATAAGGCGGCTATGGACAATTCCATAATAATAAGGCAAAGCTGTTTAAGTGCCTTATGATAGTGATTTTCAAAGTGACGTCTGTAAGACTATCAGGGGGTCCAGGAAATAATTAACTGTAAATTATAAAATTAATCTGTATCATTCAAAAGTGTGTATCTACAGTGAGGGACCAGTTGCGCCATTAAAATAATTGTGACGCGCTGCAATAAGTACATTATTTTTAAGTTTAAGCACAGCTTTATATTGAAAAAGATCAATTACTTGAAATGTAGGCAATACCTGCTGTCATGTTGAGTCCAAACGAATAAAAACACCCTCTGTTTATAGTTTATGGTTGTATTATATGGCATTATATAATGTGGACAAAGGTATAAGGAAACTTTGATTGATCTACATGTAGTCTTTGTTTGCCTCCAATGGGTCCCAAACATCAATACAATCTTCCCAGAGATACAATCAATCTGTGGCTTTGTGTCTCTTTTTTAATTGTCTGCATCACTTAAATGTCCAGAACTGGTTGCTCAATGTAATATTGACAGTTGATAGTGCAAAGCTCTGAACCCACACACAGTTTCAGCTTCAGTAATTCATAAAACACCTGCATCTCTGCTCAAACAATGACAGAGAAATGTCTATTCACAATTCACAACAGTCAGCAAACCAATGGGTTGAGTTGGCACGAATAACTGATTATTACAGGTATATTCACACAATATTACAATTCAAGGGACAATACTTATCAAATGAACCATCATTATCAAAGTGGGGCCAAAAAGATGGGACTCTAGTTTGAGTAATGTTTTCCATGTCCTAAATTATAAATATCCTAAATAATTTAGAATGACTTGGCTTTTTTTATTTAAAAGAACCCTATAAATTTAAGACTCATTTTTAAAGATGTATTTCTTCAGTAGGAATTATGTGGCTGAGTGCCACAGGCAGGGTGGGAGAGTTTAACTTTAACTATATATTCTTATAGTGTGGCTGGGATCCCCTGTTCCTAAAAACCTCACCTTTTAAACAGTCCTTTCCTTGACTACCTCACAATTTTGTCAATAAAAAAGCATGACAACAACTGAACTCCTGCTCACCTGTTCTCACTGCCACAATCAGTCATTTATCAGCTCAGTTTATTTGTTTGCATTTGTTCTTTATAACAAGGTGTTTAATGGTTTAGCTTCCACCCTCCACTAGTGCTGTGAGTTCTTGTTATTAGTCTTTTGGATTTTCTTGTTGCCTACATGCAACATGACTGCCGTTACCTGCCTGCATTTTGAAGTTATTTTCAAAATAAATTACTTAATTCTGCTGCTTCGTCATCTATCTGCATTTGGGTCCAGTCCCTGTTTCCCTGCATTGCCTGCCCTATACTGTGACGGAGGAGCTTTGCCAGGTGATTTGAGGACAGAATCCACAACTGATTCAGAGCCTAAACACAGAATCAGAACTTTAAAAACCGTTTAGCATCTGTTATGTTTGTTTTACATGATTATACTACAATCAGCCACAGAGGTAATGTAGGCCTAATGACAGTCCGGCTTACCTGGGCCACTTCTGTGAGCTAGCACGTTAAACCATAGACAGGATTAAGTGGGATTGTAAACGGCTGATTAAAGCTTAATTACTCTTGTTGACAGACAAACTGCTATTGGTTAGTAGATCTGCTTATAGACACTTTCACACCAGATAATGAGGCAATCGCATGACTAAAACATTCTCTCCCTTTTTTATATTAGTCACTTGATTGTTGTTGTCACTGATAGTTTGAGAATCAAAACACTATTCAATATTGTAATTTTTAAGGCACAGAATGTTATAAAATAACTAAATATTTAAGCTAATCTGTGCTGTATTTGAGGACACATCACATTTATTATTTAGCATTTTAAGATTAATTTATCGTAGATTTGAAAAGAAACAAGACTCTTTAAGTGGCAGATGATTTATTGTAAAATAACTCTTTACAGTGTTTGATCTTAGGTGTTTATCTTATATTAACATTAATGAATATTACTAATGCACATATTACCTACACCTAATGTACCCATTGTATCTTCCATGAGATGTATATCAAATGTCACCAGAGGTGTTGACGTGCTGCATACATTCTGTAACTTTGAACACTCCATTAGACGAAACAGTCATGATATTGATCATGGATGTTTTCCTTGTGTTCGACCACTGCAACGAGGTCCTTTCCTCAGTGGAGCTACAGCAGAGCCACAGCAGAACCTGCGCCAGCTGTTCTTGAACTGGCAGACCGAGTAGAGGATGGGATTGAGGGCTGAGTTGGCCAGTGTGAATGTTACCACCCAGAAGAACATGGTAGAGGACACATCTAGGTGACCCAAGAAGTTCCTGGCCAGGATGAGGAAGTTGATGGCGAAAATGGGACTCCACATTATTAAGAAGGAGAACACGAGGAACAGAAGGGTACGGAAGAGCTTCATATCCTGGCGGGAGACATGGTATTCAAGAGCGTCTCCAACTGGGGACTGGCTGTCTCTGGGTCGGAGCCTTAGCCGACATCTTTTAGCAATCTGTAACACAATAAAATGTTGCATAACGGCATTCTGTATTAAATGGCCTTATATAATGTGGACAAAGATATAACAAAACTTTGATTGATTTACATGTAGTCTTTGTTAGCCTCCCTAGGTCTGGGTCCCAAACATCAATAACATCTTCCCAGAGATACAATCAATTTGTGGCTTTGTGTCTCTTTTTAAATTGTCTGCATCACTTAAATGTCCACATTGGTAGAACTGGTTGCTCAATGTAATATTGACAGTTGATAGCACAAAGCTCTGAACCTACACATCATTTCAGCTTCAGTAATTCATAAAACACCTGCATGTCTGCTCAAACAATGACAGAGAAATGTCTATTCACAAGTGGCAGTCAATATATCAGCAAACCAATGGGTTGAGTTGACACGAATAACTGATTGAACTGAAGGAAAATACTTATCAAATGAACCATCATTATCAAAGTGGGGCCAAAACGATGGGACTCTTGTTTGAGTAATGTTTTCCATGTCCTAAATATTTTAGTATGACTTGGTTTGTTTATAAAAACGAACCCTATAAATGTAAGACTCAAGTGTGGCTGGATGCCCTGATCCTAAAAAACTCTTCTTTGACTACCTGACAATTGTGTTCATAAAAAAGCATGACAAAACCCACCTGTAATATTTTGCTGTAACTGGCCACAATTATGAATCCTGGGAGAAGGAAGCACAGGACGGTGAAGGCCACATTCCACACAATCTCTGCAGCTGTGTCAGGCCACTTAAGGGTACAAATGTGTACACGTTCCTGTGGAAAGAATAAACAGAAAAAAATATCTTAATGGCAGGGACACTGAGCTTTTCCTTTCATCCATCAATCCATCCATACCTGCTCAGGGATATCCACTTCCATCACAGTGAAGAACAGACTGAGGGGTATGGAGGTGAGTGCAGAAAAGGCCCAGATGAAGAAGAGGGTGGCGGTCACCATCTTGCGGTTTAAAGTGGGCACAGTCCGCAGTCGAAGGATGGCCTGCACCCTCTCCACGCTGATGGTGGCCAGCGTGGTGACGGTGACACAGCCGCTCACACAGATGACATACAGCACAATGTGACAGGCCGTATACCCCAGCATCCAGGACACCGTCCACCGCACTGCCACAATCAGCGGGATCATGCTGACAAACAGCAGGTCGGCCACAAACAAGTTGAGGGTCAGGATGGTCTTGTTGGTCAGCAGTCTGCGTTTCCACATTACCATGGCTGCAGCTCCCACATTTGCTGCCACAGAGACCAGGAAGACAGCGGTGATAGCCAGGGTCTCCACAACAGTGGTGGCCACATGATCTGAGTGGTGCACCTCAGAGAAGAAGGAAAAATAGGTGAAGTTTCTCAAGTAGAGAAAGTGAGTGTGAGGGTTTATATCCATATAGGCTGAATTCACGCCTGGAGACAACCAGAGAAGTGAATGGGGCAAAGGAGCTGATAAGGCATAAAGTGATACCAGAGATGGGGAGGAGGAGGAGGAGGAGGAGGAGGAGGAAGAGGAAGAGGAGGAGGTGGGGTGGAGGGTGGTGACTAGCCTCTATAATGCTGTTTGCTCAACCTGAAAGGGAGACAAACATTACAGGATGTTCTTTGTGCTGCGCAGTGAAACACTCTGTGCTACTTAAATGTCACATTTGTTTTCCAACAATATCAAACACAGGTATACTTGCACACTGTGGATCACTGCTTTGACAGCACACTAGGTTGTTGTTGACTGGGATTGACACGGCTACCCTGAGCCTTAATCCAGTTTCTAATCTTCAATCAATGGAGCTGTTGATCAGTAATACCGTGTAAACCTTAGTGTAACTAATTAAGATCTAATTAGTTACACACCTGTTGTATTTACGTTGTGAATTAGATTACCAGGTTTACTTCCTCAGCAGTGATACATTAATTGATCAGTGGTTTTACTGAAAACAGGCTTTCCATCTTGTTCAACCTCCACAGAGATTTGAAACTGTTTAGGATGTGGAGAGATTTACCTTTTTACAAACTAGTTAACACACACGGTCCTCTTTTCTCCGAAAGTATTTTTGTCATGTCTGGGGTTGATCATCTTCAAGGCAGTCAGAGAAACATCCTCTTGGAAATACTGTAGGTCTTCCTCTCAGACAGGCTAAACTCATATTCAACTTTCCATGAAGATGTTTCTGTATGAAAAGTTGCTGAAAGGCATAGCAAGCTAGGAAATGTCTACACCATATTAGCATCTTTTTCTAAAGCTGTTGGCCTACAGTAGGTTAACCCTTGGAGTCACATTTCCTTTCAAGGCCCTCCGTCACTGCACAGACCTCTGCCTCCCCGTTTGAGACAGTGTGCGACGTAGGGATGTGTGTTTTACAAAGTATCACACACAACTCTTTATTCATTTTTTGGGAATACTTACAAAGAAGACTACAGCCATGCTGATGTTTAGCAGGACATATTTACCAGGTTCACCATCGCAGATTAGCCTGTTAGCATGCTAACATTTGCTAATCTAAGAATGTCTGGATAAAATGTTGTGTCAATACATCTGGTAGATGTTGGGACTTTGACGTGCTGGTGCTGCTAGAGGAAAAGTTTGAGTAAAAGTCATAAGACTCAATCCTCTAGGGACCTTGGATTCCTGCAGAGCTGCTCGCGTGGCTAAAGATCTGCTATCTTCTGATAAAGTAAGAAAGAATTCAAAATACTCTGAAGCACCACCTCAGCAAGTCAACAAGTAGTTTATTAAGATAACCTTAAGATGACGTGTACCTCTGGTTACACAGGTAAAAAAACAACAACAATCCATATTACAGAAGATACAGAATTGAAGAAGTTCTCGTCTCGGCTCAGTCGAAACAGATTTCTAGGTGGCTCATCAGTTCTCGGTAGTGACTGGCTGGATACTCGGCTCGGCAGCTGGGACACTCCAGGAAGCTTTCATCCAGCGAGCTGCTGGGAGGGGACCATGTCAGGGTGTCTCTGGAGCTCAGGGAGGCCACTTCACAGGAGGTGCGATCCTGCTGGTCTCTCTGATATGAATGGAGTCAGCAATCAGTTATGACAGAGAAGACTCTGGGTAACGAAATCAGCTTTCCAGGTAATGTTATGGTCAACCAGCAAAACTTAAAGCTGTACTAATCAATATTTGATATTAAAAATGGATGAAATTAGCTCTTTCAGTTTGTTTTGGATTATTGTTTTGGTTTTTCAAACCGCATCTGACTCTTATCAATCTTTTCCGTGGTTTTACGCTGCCCCTCCAAAAATCAATTACTGCAGCTTTAAGGTTCATCGCTGATGAAGTTGGGATACAATAATTACTAATCCTTTGCACTATTCATGCCAACCTTTGACTGTTTTGTCGCGTGGTCTCTAGGTTTTTGCAGCTTCTTCAGAACTCTGACCATTTGCTTCTTTAAATATGAACAATTCTGCTTCTCATCCTCGAGGTCTTGTGAAGAAATCTTGATCTAAAATGGAAACAGTTTGCATTATTATATAATATTGCATAGTTGTAGGGTATTAGTTTTCAAACACAAAGAAGTAAATCCTTTGCGTATGTGAGAACAGATAGTTTCCCTTTAGAAGAAAAGCAAAGAGGTAAGAAAGTATGACACGCCCACTTCTGTGGAAGATTGAGGCTTAGATTCACAAAGACAGACTGAAGGACACGAGTCGATGATCCTCCTCACAAAGTAATTCATCTGGCAATATTGAGAGTGGGTGGATTGACAATAGCCCTCAATATTTAGTTAAAACTAATGATTTATTACAGTAAGGGGACCAAAAGTGAGATTTCATACCTGTCGCTCCAGGTCTGCAATCGTTTCCTGGTCTGCATGTTGATGATTTAACAAAACCTTCTGCAAGACAGACGACTGAAAAGAAAGATTTTACTTCCATTTGGTCTGCTTTCTTCCCTTGTATGTTGAAGGTAAGATTCTTTATTTTTCTTACTCTACAGTTCAATGAAGACGTACCTGCAGCTCAAAGTGAGCAGACCTCCGCTTCTCCTTATCCAGTCTGCACTGGAGGTCTTCGGTCTCAGCACTCAGCCATTGTTCTTCATCCTCAGAGCAATGATGATCTCCCGGTGCACTTGTTCTGCTCATATTTGCAGTCTGCAGCTGTTGCTTTAGCTCTTCCATCTCCCTCTCTGTTTCCACGCACCTACACATAAAACGGTCTGTCTTGCAGCTGACTACCAACTTTAAGCAGCAACATATTCTTTATTTTTTAGCAGCAGACGTACCAGTTTTGGGTCATGTTGAACTTCTCTCTGAGCACCTCCAGCTCGTCTTTGGCTTTCTGTAAGAGTCTTTCATAGTGCTCCTGCATCTGGCTTATTTTCTTCATCTCTGTAGCGTAGGATTGAGGACAAAATTACACAATCACAGATGTCAGAGACAGCCGTACAACATGCACCATGTAGTAATAAAATACATGTTTTTGCCAGTGCATTGCAAGCTGCGGATTCTGTAACAGCGGGCTACTCAAGGGCAATCTTGATACCCTAAAAACCTTGTTGTGACAGTCTGTTGCCCCTTGTGGCCCCAGCAGTGAGTACCCACTGCCCACTGTCTCACTCACTATCTGAATGGTCCTCATTGTGCTGCTGTAAGCGGGCCTGATTGGCTTCGTTCAGCTGCTTCTCCAGCCATAACATTCTGGCCAGAGTTGCCCCCACGTAGGCCTCTCTCCGCTGGTCATATTCCAGCCACTGCTTGTTCTTCTCCAAGGCCTCGGGGGATTGAATAAAAGAAAGAGAAGCACATAACTGAGAAACACAAAAGCAAGTCTTGCTGGGGGGGGGGGGTATACTGGGGTATACTGTACACAGGCCCACATGGAAGCAAATGCGCACACAAAGTAGGCACTAACCACGAATACAGAAAGGTGGATTAGGCTTTTCTGAACAATACAAACAGAAGAGACCTTTTCCCTCCAGATGTGTGGCCAACAAACAACACTTACCTCACTTAGGTCATTTTTGACCTGTATTGCAGTGTTGGTTGAGGCCCATTCATCTGAAGCGTAGTCCTATTTGACAACAGGAACATACAGTACAGCATTACACAACTCTCCCCACTGCTTCAATAAGACACTGCATTGTGACATGTCATACCAAGGCCCGAAACACATGCACAGTGGGATTTAAAGCAACACATTCTCAAGTGTTGTGACCTCTACAATATCCAAAAAGTCACTGTGAATGCATGCTCTGTATGAGGAAGTGTGAACAGGACTCCTCTTCTGAATGGGAGACTCTGCAAAACAACTGCTGCCATCTAGTGGTGTAAAACTGGTAATCACAATCACTAAGCAGCAACACTTGTCATTTAATACTAAAATCAAGTTGTGGTATACCTTCTTCCGTGCAACTTTGTTCTCGAGATATTGACACCTAGTTGAGACGCTCACGAGCTTGTTCTTGATTTCTTCGACCTCTCTTGAGTAACTGGATATGCTTCTCTTTCTCCTCATACTCACTACGTCCATCTGCTTCCCTTCTTTCTTACTCATCTGCTCTGACGGCAAAGCCTTCTCGTCTCTGGTCGTGAGCTGCTGAAAACTCACAAGCCCGACAGTTTCAAGAGAGAGCAATCTCTGCAAAAAACACAATGAGACATACAAGTTATTTTACTAATGCTAAGCTATTGTAAATCCATACCTTGCATTAAAACAACTCCCAGCTCCCAGTGGCAACATAATTTAACAGATAAATGTGAGAACCTTGGCTAGTTGGCTTCTGTTGGGTAAATACCAGAGAGTATTATTGAGTTTACCTCTACTAGCCTATTCAATTCAACCAGGGTCTTCTTCAGAAAGGCATTCTCCTTCCTCAGACTGCTGACGACCACATCAAGCTCTGACTTGAGCTTCTTCTTGAGGGCACGCTTATATCTGGGTGACGTCATCTCAATCACCTGCTAACACATATCACAAGGGAGATAATACATTTTCACATTTTGTCAGAATTTACAATTTCAACAATAAACATTCTCAAAAGGGTTTAAGTTGATTTCCCTCCAGATGTTGTCATTAGCAAAGTAACTTTGTTTTTTATGCAATTCAGACATTTAGCGTTAGCTGCACCTTACTAACACATTTACAATCTAAAGTTCCAAAGCATTAATTCCACAATAACCTTAAGGTAAACATCTTATGACATCGAGTTAGTGTTCTGATTTAAAAATTGTATTGAGTTAAATTGGCTAGCTTAACTTTTAAGCTAACATGGCCCAGTGCTCAGAAATAAATGAAAATAATGTAACCGAAGATAATTCTTCATCTGAATGTAAACTACAAACCGCTAACCTTACTAAATGGACCTATAGTTTAGTGACTGTTTGGGCAACAAGTTATCGGTAACAACCTTACATTTATTAATGTAGCTAACGCTAACACAACGTTAGCTAAATGATTGCCTTTATACTGGATTTTCGATGCTGGTCTTACTAAGCTAACGCTAGCAGCTAACTACATAGCTAACAATATGTTAGCTGAACGTCAATTTATCCTACAGATATTTTCACATTTTAAAGCTCGTTTTGTTAGCCAGTAACATCTTAATGCTAGTAGATGACATCACATAACGCTAACGATCATTTAGCTCGGTAACTAACCTTATTTTTTAATGACTATTTCACCAGGTCCCCTTTAACAAAAATTTTAACGTTAAAGGAAGTCAGTAAACGGTCTAGCTAACGTTAACTGGCTAACTGTTAGCTAACGTTAACTGCGCTGCTTTCAACACTGCCGCCTAAACTCCGGCCCGGTCCAGCCAGAGCAGTTCAGTGCCAGCTTTTTTTAAATAACAATAATATTGTTTCTGGAGCAACGTGTTTTTGTGACTTAATGATCTGGGAATTTTAGTTTAGTTCATGTCTCATCAAAGTAAGGAGTGAAGGCTTACTGCAAGCTAGCATGTTTAACATGTGGGTAAGGTTAACTGCTAGTTATTGCTGACATCATAGCATTACGCCACTAAGGGGCGTTGCAGCACAAGAGAAAAGAGGACCAACTCCGCAGGTTTGCCTGGATGGTACATGATTTAACTCCCAGTTCTGCACAATGATGCCAAGCAATATATAGGTATACGCATGACGCCTTTTTGAAAGCTAACGAGGCAACTAGGCTCTCCTTTCCTTGGTGTGTGTTTCTCGCCTCCTAACTCTCGTCACCTAGGCTGGCTGCGTGTGTTTCCTCTGACTCATGAGTGAGGCTGCCCTCTGGTATCCAGGGCTCACCCCTCTGCACATCTGTGCGTTTCAGTTCCCTCTGTAGCGGTCTCCCTCTCTCGCGACGGAATATGATTCGTTTCTCTGAATAAATTTGGACTTTTACCAAAATGCTTCGTGTAATTGTGGAGTCGGCTTGTGGGATTCCCAAAAAGAGAATTGGAAACCCAGATCCAATCGCTGCGATTGTCTTTAGAGGTGAGATTATTGCTTTTAATTTTTTTCCCCTGTGGTAACAGCTGTAGGCTCTATTTACTCTTTATTCATGCACACAGTGTTTCACTTTCAGTCAAGCTATCATCTTTTCTGTCATCATGGAGGTTTTCTACATCACTTTTGCAGTTAAATGCATTAGCAGTTTACAGTAGTTTGAATACGTTGGTAGTGATTCATAATCAAAACGAAGAGTACATCCTTATAAGGTCAGATAAGCCCTCTGTCCACAGATCACAGCCACTTCCTTTGACCTCAGCTTGGACTTTATATTTACAAAATGAGATACCTAAGTGTATTAAGTGGTCCTCTGTTTCCAGCAGATTGTAAAATGTTGATTCAATCATTTTTTTTTTTTTTTAGAGGAAGTATCGACTGTTCTTTCCAGAACATAAAACTGTAAAACCAGATTGTGAGTTTTTGCTTATAAATATGGTCTGTTTGTTGTGTTTACAGGTGAAAAGAAGAAAACCAAAGCAATTGACAATGAATTGAATCCTGTATGGAACGAAGTAAGCGCAGAATGAGTTAACTGTAATGAGAGATGTTTACAGTGTGTTGACTTGGAAATGACTTACCTGAGAGCTGCTGTCATTACCTCAGTTAAACTACTGTATGTTGTTGTTTTAAATGATTGAGTGTAAAGGTCTCTTCCCTTTAATTACAGGTGCTTGAATTTGATCTGAAAGGCTCTTCCCTGGATGCATCTTCATTCATCAATGTGGTTGTCAAAGACTATGAGACAATCGGCAAAGACAAGTATGTGCATGACAAGCATCAGGCATTGACATTGTGACATTTGCATGTTTCATATTGTTAGCTTAAAGTGTGCTAAAGACATTGTTTAGTTTTTTTTTTTTAAATGAATGAACACATGACCCTAAGTCTACATCCCAGTATGACTGAAATACTGATAATTTAAACACACTGTTTAGTGGAGGAGGGCCTGTGAGTGTGAACCACTTCCCCATGACTACGTGTAGGCGGTCTTTATAGAAACCCCCCTCCCAAAAAAACAAACACCTATGTTTTGCTTTGTAGCGCAGGTAATAACTGAAAGGGGAAACCTCACTACGCCTCAAAGGTTTACCTTTTGAGAAGGTAAACGTGTGATTCTGTGAAAGTGCTTGTTTCTTACTACAACTGATACTACAACTATCCATTTTAACATGTTGAGAGTAGGTATGATCTTTTCTTAAGAAACAGAGCAACATGTTTTAACTTAACTGAGCTGTATAACCACAGGAATCACTGCGGCCTTGTTAAGACTTGCAGCAGCGTCTGTGAAGAAGCTGTTTTGTCTACATCACAATCGCACTCTCGCTCTTACGAGCAATGTTACCTTAAAAGGAAAAAGAAGTCATTTCTTTCTAACCCTCCCTACGGTAGACTCTGCAATTTATTATGTTTCTGCTTCATTTCTTATCGTTTATCTGTTTGTTAGGCATTTTTGTAATTGTGATTTTGACTATTTTTGTCTGTCTGCAGTGCAGGCAAGAATGTGGAAGTAATAACAATAATAACAAGTGACTCACTAGTATAAATTATTCTGGGGCAGGCACAAGGGATGGGGGGAGGATGGGGAGGTGACTGCTTCAGCCACGAACACACAGGGATATTTTTCCATGATCGCTGCCTGCAATGCATGAGGGAGGGGGTGAATAAGAGAGCTTGCGCTGGCTTGTCATTGGCACATTTGTGATGACTAGTTGTAACAGCCTGTAATCCAAAGCGAAATAAACTTCAGACAGACAGTCTAGCTGATTCTGGAGGAAAATATGTTTGGCAACACTTTGTGACAAACTCTTCCCTATGTCTTCAATCTAGGAAAATCTAGAAAATGAATTTGACTCAAAGAACAGGGAGATCTAATCTGTGGTACTGCTTGGAAAAGATTGTTTTACGCCTAAATTAACTTTGTTTAATAGTGATGTCTAAGTAGTGGAAATATATCAGTATGCCAGGCAAGTATCTATCTGGCTCTCTCACTGTGGATAGAAAAAATAGTTTCTTTCAGTGAAGCAGATCTAAATACTTGAAACTAGAGTTTTAAAGTTTTGTTTTCGTTTCTGAAGCGAGTAATGTATACAAACGTTCATTTGTATAAACCAGTCCTTGCATGTGGCCTCTGCAGTGGTTGAGACAGTAAATTCTCTACAGTAGAGACAGTAAAGTTCCATACCACATTCCTCTCTGTTACCCTCCACAGTTGACCATGGACAAGCCACGTTTTTAAAGCTCTGTGTAATGATTAATAATGGCACAACTGTTGAGAAAACATAGCCTGAGCATAATCATGAATATGGTTTTGCCTGCTCTCACGTTGCTTACCTCAGACTGCCTTTTCTCCCACCTCCTTTGCTCTATATTGGACCACACTTAATCTGGGCACAGAGCGCCCAGCACATGCCTGTGGTAGATGTTAATTGTTTCCATCTTTCTGCTTTTTCTTCTGCACTTTTTCATCATCTTGGGGCCTTGCCAGTGTAACCAGCTGACCCTTGTCACACAGCAAAGTATCCAGTTTGTTCTCTTAACCTGAGATACTACTGCTGCCCACAAATGGCTCTTTTGTTGTTGTTTTTCATGTTGCTATTATGATTTTAGAAAATGCCCAATGTGTTGTAATCCATTGTGGTTAATAATCACTGTTGCTACATGACTTCTGTTGGGTAGAAAAAGTAGGTGGTGTTTCTAGGCTTGTCATAATATGTGAAGAAGTGAAATTGGGAAGTAGAAACCGCCAACTATCCAGAGCAACGAGTAATTACAGTCCCAAACATTGCTTTGAATCCCCTCATGTGGTAATTGCACAAGGAAAAATAAGTGTGATTGCTTTTCAGGTTCATTGGCTCTGCAAAAATCCCTCTGAGAGACTTGGCCAGTGGTCACATGAATTCCCTCCCATCAAAGAATGTGCCCTTGATCAATGAGAAACAACACGCTACTGGGGTGAATACATTTATCAATAACATGTGATACTTGTGCAATTTTACAATACAGAATATACTAGTTCCGCTTCAGCTCTGGCAGTGGATGGTATCTGTATAGATCTGCAGGAAGTAGTTGATGTTGAAGTAGTTGACTATCCTATGACATATATTTGGTGTTTGACATATGCAGTAGAACTTATAATGCTAATTTAGAAAGCATTGTCTTTGTTCAGGCAACCATCAATTTGGTCATTGGGTATGAGCCACCAGCCGACACTACTGTAAACCCAAATGACCAACCTGATGGAGACACGTCTCATGTGGATGCAGGTAAGTAAACAGATAAGTCTAAGAAAAGAGATGGTAGCTTCTGATTTTACTTATTCCCTCCCAAAATAACAAAGCAAAACATCGCATTCCTTTACAAGGAATAAGGAATTTAAAAAAATAGTAGTTTTTAAGGTATCTCCTAGAAATAAACTCTGAATATTATCGTCAAGATTTCTATACATTTAAAGAAATGTGTTTGTT